GAATATAGTATATCTCTCCATCTGTTGGTATCATCTTTAATTTCTTTCATCAGTGTCTTATAGTTTTCTGCATACAGGTCTTTTGTCTCCTTAGGTAGGTTTATTCCTAGGTATTTTATTCTTTTTGTTGCAGTAGTAGATGGGAGTATTTCCTTAATTTCTCTTTCAGATTTTTCATCATTAGTGTATAGGAATGCAAGAGATTTCTGTGTGTTAATTTTGTATCTTGGTACTTTACCAAATTCATTGATTAGTTCTAGTAGTTTTCTGGTAGCACATTTAGGATCCTTTATGTATAGTATCATGTCATCTTCAAACAGTGACAGTTTTACTTCTTGTTTTCTGATTTGGATTCCTTCTATTTCTTTTTCTTCTCTGATTGCTATGGCTAAAACTTCCAAAACTATGTTGAATAATAGTGGTGAGAGGGGGCAGTCTTGTCTTGTCCCTGATCTTAGTGGAAATGGTTTCAGTTTTTCACCATTGAGAACAATGTTGCCTGTGGGTTTGTTATATATGGCCTTTATTATGTTGAGGTAACTTCCCTCTATGCCTACCTTTCTGGAGGGTTTTTATCATAAATGCGTGTTGAATTTTGTAAAAAGCTTTTTCTGCATCTATTGAGTTGATCATGTTTTTTATTCTTCAATTTGTTAATATGGTGTATCACATTGATTGATTTGCATATATTGAAGAATCCTTGCATTCCTGGAATAAACCCCACTTGATCATGATATATGATCCTTTTAATGTGCTGTTGGATTCTGTTTGCTAGTATTTTGTTGAGGATTTTTGCATCTATGTTCATCAGTGATATTGGCCTGTAGGTTTCTTTCTTTGTGACATCTCTGTCTGGTTTTGGTATCAGGGGGATGTTAGCCTTGTAGAATGAGTTTTGGAGTGTTCCTCCCTCTGCTGTTTTTTGGAAGAGTTTGAGAAAGATGGGTGCTAGCTCTTTGCTAAATGTTTGATAGAATTTGCCTATGAAGCCATCTGGTCCTGGGCTTTTGTTTGTTGGAAGATTTCTAATCACAGTCTCAATTTCAGTGCTTGTGATTGGTCTGTATATATTTTCTATTTCTTCCTGGTTCAGTCTTAGAAGGTTGTGCTTTTCTAAGAATGTGTCCATTTCTTCCAGCTTGTCCATTTTATTGGCATATAGTTGCTTGTAGTAATATCTCATGATCCTTTTATTTCTGCAGTGTCAGTTGTTACTTCTCCTTTTTCATTTCTAATTCTGTTGATTTGAGTCTTATCCCTTTTTTCCTTGATGAGTCTAGCTAATAGTTTATCGATTTTGTTTATCTTATCAAAGAACCACCTTTTAGTTTTATTGATCTTTGCTATCATTTCCTTCATTTCTTTTTCATTTATTTCTGATCTGTTCTTTATGATTTCTTTCCTTCTGCTAACTTTGGGGTTTTTTGTTCTTCTTTCTCTAATTGCTTTAGGTGTAAGATTAGGTTGTTTATTTGAGATGTTTGTCATTTCTTGAGGTGGGATTGTATTGCTATAAACTTCCTTCTTAGAACTGCTTTTGCTGTATCCCGTAGGTTTTGGGTCTTCGTGTTTTCATTGTCATTTGTCTCTAGGTAGTTTTTGATTTCCTCTTTGATTTCTTTAGTGATCTCTTGGTTATTTAGTAGGGTATTGTTTAGCCTCCATGTGTTTGTATTTTTGACAGATATTTTCCTGTAATTGATATCTAGTCTCATAGTGTTGGGGTCAGAAAAAATATTTGATATGATTTCGATTTTCTTAAATTTACCAAGGCTTGATTTGTGACCCAAGATATGATCTATCCTGGAAAATGTTCCATGAGCACTTGAGAAGAAAGTGTATTCTGCTGGTTTTGGATGGAATGTCCTATAAATATTCATTAAATCCATCTTGTTTAATGTGTCATTTAAAGCTCGTGTTTCCTTATTTATTTTCATTTTGGATGATCTGTCCATTGGTGAAAGTGTGGTGTTAAAGTCCCCTACAATTATTGTGTTACTGTCAATTTTCCCTTTTATGGCTGTTAGCATTTGCTTTAGGTATTGAGGTACTCCTATGTTGGGTGCATAAATATTTATAATTGTTATATGCTCTTCTTGGATTGATCCCTTGATTGTTATGTAGAGTTCTTCATCGTCTCTTGTAACAGTCTTTATTTTAAAGTCAATTTTGTCTGTTATGATAATTGCTACCCCAGCTTTCTTTTGATTTCCATTTGCATGGAATATCTTTCTCCACCCTCACTTTCAGTCTGTATGTGTCCCTAGGTCTTAAGTGGTCTCTTGTAGACAGCATATATACAGGTCTTGCTTTTGTATCCATTCAGCCAATCTATGTCTTTTGGTTGGAGCATTTAATCCACTTACATTTAAGGTAATTATCGATATGTATGTTCCTATTACCATTTTCTTAATTGTTTTGGGTTTTTTATTGTAGGTCTTTTTCTTCTCAGGTGTTTCCTGCCTAGTAAAGTTCCTTTAGCATTTGTTGTAAAGCTGGTTTGGTGGTGCTGAATTCTCTTAGCTTTTGCTTGTCTGTAAAGGTTTTCATTTCTCTGTGGAATCTGAATGAGATCCTTGCTGGGTAGAGTTACCTTGGTTGTAGTTTTTTTCCCTTTGATCACTTTAAATATGTCCTGCCACTCCCTTCTGGCTTGCAGAGTTTCTGCTGAAAGATCAGCTGTTAACCTTATGTGGATTCCCTTATATGTTATTTGTTGCTTTTCCCTTAGGTATATATATTTTTTAACACATTTTACCTTTAATTCTAGGATCTCTGAATTTTTAGAATATGTTTTTGTTTAAGTCACTTGATCTTTGTAAGTCTTAATTTTCTCAGAAATAGAATTCATAATGGCTAATGTCTGTAAGAGCATTTTGTAGTATATGTGATGTGCTGGGACAGGATTCACACACCCGTCTGGGCACACACACACACACACACACACACACACAATGCCTAAAGAAGGGCACAAAAGTCAAACTTGCCTGCATAATAAACATTCAGACAAGCATGTTTCTTTTTCAATGTGAATACTGTTCGTTAATTTTATTAGAAAAGGAGCCTTTCTGACTCTCCTGCTACAGCCTGCATTCCACCATAAGTGGTATCACAGGTTTGTGTGTGTTTGTGTGTGTGTGTGTGTGTGTGTGTGTGTACTGGAACGTAATTTGGACCTGGAGTCTGATCCAATCCAGTTTTGTAGTAATAGTCAATATTAGTTATGGTGATATTGTGATTAATAATGATACTGTGTGAAAAAAAATAATGATACTGTGTGATATTAGTGATTAATGGAGCACTTAATATACATGTCACTTTTCTAAGCAATATGTAAATATATCAACTAATTTCATCTTTATAAGAAATTCAGGCAGGTATATCATCCTCTTTTAAGAAATACCTGCACTGATTCTAGGAGAAGCAGAAATAAGAGGTAGAACTGACATCTGAACTTGGGCTGAGTGACTCCCAAATGATCTGATCTGAGTCACTAGGGCCAAGCAGCTTCTAAAATGGGGACCAACACATCCAAGACCTATTTCCCTCTTCAGGGAAAGGAATTATAGCCTATTTTCATGGATTATTGTAAAGATTAATTTAGAGACTGTATCTGAGGAATACGCTTCATGTTTTCTCTGAAATTTGCCATTATGTCCATTTATATCAGGAATTCCAGTTTCCCAGGGAAAAGGAGCAAATTTAAACTTTTATTCCTTCTTTTTCCAGATGAGGCAACTAAAATCCTCCAAAATGAATTGACTTACATTATACAGCGTGTTCACTTGGATTGATTGTAATTGATTTTTTAATATCTAAAATGCCTTGAGTTTTCTTTTAAATTAATTTAAAAATAATAGTTGTAAGTATTTATTTCGGTTACTTTTTTCAGAAGTTGAAATTTTTACTCTTCAGATCATGAGATTTACCTGTGAACATATGAGTAATAATTTAAAGGCCAGATGAGTTTGAAAATAGTTACTCTGGCAGGTATTCAGTGACATTTTACCAGAAAAGTAATTTTAATACCTTGATATCTGCCATAGCTATAAAAATGGAAATACTAACATTCATGTATATTACCTTCACCTACTTTTCCTGTATTTCTATATAGCACAAAAAAGTCAAAGTTACGTAATTACTGAGTTAATATAATTTAAAATGCAAGCTATTTTTCCACATTGGTCATATTGGCTGAATAAGACATGAATATCCTTTTCATTCTGTGACGTATGGAATCAGGTTTATAGTATTCTGAGTCATTGCCCCAACTTTCTCTTTTACAATTTTTCCTCAATTCCTAGCTGCATTCTTTTTACCTTTTAACATCTCTGAAGTTGCTACACATACAGATGTGTGAACACATTAGTTGAAAACTTCTAGTAAGACCAAGAAATGGCCACGTCAGAGTCTTCTTGACTTAATGAAATACAGTTACATAAGTAAGGTAAATGTGTATTTTTTTAAAAGCAATAAAATTTCTGAGACATGTTAGACACAGTTTTTTCATATCTCATGTAGAAGAATATTCCTATGATAGTTTAAGGGTTATAGAAATCAACTCAATATAAGAGACCATGCTTATGAAGCTCTTTAAATTTGCAAATACATTAATAAGTATTGCTTAATTTCATCATCTTCACAGTTCTGTAAGGAAAAAGAGAAATTGTGTGTTATCCATCTGTACAGTAAGGAATTGAATCTCAAGCATTCAATGCTTTGGTAGTTACCTTGCTAGTAAGAGATGAAGCCAGAAATCCTAATTTCTATCTTATGGACATGCCTCAGTGTCAATTCAAAGAAGAAGTGTTTCCGTTATAGACTTTGAGGCCTGGAAATTGTCTGCTGTGACCACTTGAATGAAGAATTAGTGCTGTCATAGAGTGTAATCTTTGTCACTGCAGCATCCCCGCCACCCACTGGTCAGCACTGATCCAGGTGTGGCCCTGTCAGAGTAGAACTGATGTGTGCCAGCCTGTGTAACTCCAGATTTTCATCAGGACAGCGACCTGCTGGACCGGCGGAAACACTGCTTCACCGTGCAGTCCGAATCTGGGGAGGACCTCTACTTCTCCGTGGAATTAGACTCTGACCTCGCCCAGTGGGAAAGAGCCTTCCAAACAGCAACCTTTCTGGAAGTGGAACGGATACAGGTGAGAGTCTGTGGAATCGCAGGACCTGTGACCCCCAAAGATGCATGACCACTCCCCTAGAATTCTAATATAAATTCAAAGGAGCATAAAAATGCAGTTCTGTGAGTCCTGACCTTCTCAAATGTTCAATAAGTAGCCATTGTTATTAAATGAAGTGCAACACGGCTCTGAAAAACGTTTTAATTTTCCTACAATTTGATCTTTCTAGGCTATTTCCTACCACTCATCAAAAACATATTTCTAACTTTAATTAGAATCTGCTCTACCTTAAATCTAAAGTAGAAAATGCTCTTATTTTAATTAATCGTTTACAAAGCCATTTCCTGGTCTCCAGTCACAGCCACCTAATTTCCAGCCTGAACGACTTCATTCACTCACAAGGCTCTTTCTTGCTAGAAAGCCTTCTCTTCATCTCTACCCTTCAAAACGACAGGGAATTTGAAGCTTTTCTCAGAGGTCCCATCATCCAGGACAATTTTGCTAACCCCCAGTCAGCCCTGCCCTTTGCCCCCATTGCCCCTTCCACGTGAGTCCTGTTCAAACTCGCCCCTGCCGAACAGTCTCTTAATCCGTTTCCTTAGGTGTCCCCATGCTGTGCTTGTGTTGGAGTGATGAGTGCTGGTCATCCCCGCACTGAGTTGTGGGTTTCCAGGGATTCTTTTATTCCTCTACCGACTGAAGTATAGTGCATTTTGTACATCATGAGTAATCGGCAGAAGTTTGTTAAACTTTATCTCTTAACTGTGAAGTTATATCTAGACCAAATGTCATAAACCTGTAGCCTGTGCAACTCACAGGACCGTGGACGGGAACAGGCTCTGCAGCTGACCCCTAACTGACCCTTAACAGAGACCAAGGGCAAAACTGAACAGTTGTGATGCACTTGAGTCATAGAGCCGGGACCTAAATAGACACACGGACACAATTTTGAAAACAAGTGTATGATGATGACAGTACAGCATTATTATCCCGGGATTCCTGCCTGCAACGGGGGACTTGGATGCATAGTTGTTCAGTTATGTTGAACTGATATGTGACATGTATTAATTTCTTTCTTCTGACTACAAATTTCTATATTCAACCCATCAGGTCACACCAGTATGACATAACAATCAGGGGAAGGGAACAGGAGAAGGCTTGTTTTCACTTTTTTCATTGCTTAATTGACATTTTCTCATATTCTGCTGATCTGCATTACCTAAAAATGTTAAAGTAACTGAGAAATGTTGTTTCAATAATTTAGCTGTATAGAACCTCAATTCAGTAAATAGATATTTTAATATCAAAGTAGAAAGATGAAAAATACCTTAACTATTATTTTATTCCAAGTATCAACACTTAAGACCATTTTAAAGCATTGTATAAAGTTGTACAGGAGTTGATGTTTTTGTTATTTATTTTGATAGTTTTGGGTTTTCCTAATTATCATTTCCCTAGAATATCACACTTCACTTGGAAACAAATACATGGTGATTTCTACCTGCTGGTTTCAATGTAAAATTTCATTTTAAGTCTCCTGATGTTTAGAAGTGAGATAGAGATAAAATTATATTGTTTCACTGTATTTTACTATTTTTTAAAATCTGGACCTCACATCCTCTAAACTGATGTCCTGAGCAATGCATTTCTTTGTACTAGCACCTTACATATTCACAATACAAATTTGAGATGCATATGGTAAGTGAAAAGAAAAATATTTAATGTCTTTTTAGCTTTTGGTTGTTTTATAGATTTTATAATTTCCCCTTGTTTACTCTACCAGAAATCAGTAATCAACGACTGAACACTGTGGTTCTGTTATTTTCAAAATTCAAAGATGTGAATATATTTACATGAAGGAGTTTGTGGTTTACTTCTATGTTCCTAATATTTCCACTTCCACTAAAGTTGGTAAAAAAAATAAAGAGAGGACATACTCCTATTGTGAAACAGGCATAAAAGTAGGAAATTAATAAACTAATACAATAAAAATTAATAAATTAATCTATTTTTATTTTGAAATTAGTTTTCATTAACAGGACTGCACCCTAACATTTTCTAGCTTCTAATCTATTCCTTTGTCTATTTAAATATTTTCTGATCTCTAATGTACTTAATATTGATATAAATATATATTTATTTAAAGGATAATTCACTGAAAGCAGGTATTTCTAAACATCCTACATTGTCATTTCAATTAACACCTTAAAATCTAGCCATACTTCCCAGGGTGACAGTAGAAAATGTAATGAACATTGAAACAGAAATATGACAATTTGCATGAATTACATCTTACATTCACCTAGTATTCAAAGTACCAGAGTTAAGCCTAATTAATTTACTGTATTTTTAGTACCTTTATTTGTCCAATTTCTGAACAATTTTCCCAGAGTAAGTGAATAATACTGGCAAGGGACATATAATTGTTTTTTACACTAATTCAATATGAATTAATACAACCCTTTTAAAATAAGACTTTCTGTGAAGAAGTGTGTCCCATTCAAAACTTGATTTCTTTTAATGTTATTATTTCAGACTCTTTCATTGTGCTTTATCCAGCTATAGACAGTTAGCTGTCATCCAAAAGGGCATGTAAAAAATCATTTTATGTGTGATGTATCTTCAGATATTGTGTAATAATATATAAAATTGTGCAAAATAATATATAATAATTATATATAATATATAATTGTGCAAAAATCTTTCAAAGTGTTTCTAGCTTGAAATTCCCTAAAAAGGATAATTTTTTTGCTTTTTTCTAACTATAATTCAATTTTATTATAAAATAAATATAGAAATTAAACAATAAACATTTCAATGTTAAAACATACAAATATACTCATTACATATGTTTATTAAGACTATAAATCATAGAATAAAACTTCAGTGGATCTCAAGTTATATCATATCTGTTTCGATTTAATGATTATCGAAACAATGTAATTTAATTCATAATCCTGTTCTTAATGAGATAAATTGTAGTGTTCTATACTGAAGGTGTTTCCACCTGACATGTATTTTTTAAATAATGTCACTTGAAAATAGCAAGCAATTATGTCTCAATTGGAGAAAATGAGATGGCCTTGGATATTCCTTAAGTTGATAGTAGTTTTAATAAAGTGGTAATGGGTGGGTACAGCATGGAAGGTGAGGTGTTCATGTATTAAATAAAATTACACCCACAAATAAACTTACAAGGCCCATTAAGTTTGCTTTCTAATCTGCTTTTTTGAAAAACTTAACTCCAAATGAATAATCTGGCCTGGTTATAACTTTCCAATGCAGATTGGGCTTAAACACATGAATATAGCTTTTTGGTGGAGTCAACGTGATGCATTTAGCCATTGTTAGTCAGAATGAGATTCACTTAATGTACATTTATACACAGTATTATAAACACAAATATGACGTAAGGATTGGTATCGAACATTTGCTGGAGATAGGTTTCTCTCTTTCTCCCTCTCCCTCCCTCTCTCTCCCCTTTGTGAATTACAAATGTTTTTCTTGGGACTTCCCTGGCGGTCCAGTGGTTAAGACTTCACTGTCCAATGCAGGGGGTGTGGGTTCGATCTCTTGTTGGGGAGCTAAGATCCCACATGCCTCTTGGCCAAAACAACAGAACATAAAACAGAAGCAATGTTGTAACAAATTCAATAAAGACTTTAAAAATGGTCCACATCAAAAAAGTCTTTAAAAAAAAGGTGTTTTTCCTGATTTGAATATCCCACTCCAGTTTGCAATTAAGTGCAAATAAAACTGGCCTATGGACATAAAAATGCATTGTTTCATATAAGCCCCAAGTGTGTACTTCTCATCTGTTATTCTTGTATTCCAGCATCTATATTTTACTAGTTTTCCCAAACTATTTATATAAGTAAACGTGTAATTTAATCTGATCTCAGTGTGAGCGATCATTAATTATTGATTTCGAAGAATCAGTAGGCTTACACAAATAATAGGAAGGGTAAATGTCTTTAGGACATAACTTGCACCACACTGATGAACATGTAGAGACTCTTAAGGTCAAGACGTTTCTTCTATTTCTTGCTCTGATTATTAAATCTGTTTGTGTGCCTGAGAGCTCTCTTTTTAAGAATATCAATGAAATTGATATGCCAAGAATTTAAGTCATACCTTAATCTTTAATAATTCACTCTTAGCTTAATAAAAATGCAGTGATATTTAGCTACAGAATATAACAACTTAACATAATCTTGCCTACACCTAAAAATGTGTATACAGTTTTATTGCCAGGATAGGGAAGGGCATCAGTGTGACACAAGGTAAGGACAAGGTCACCAGGGCAGGATTGGAAACTCAGCCCTGCATCCCCCGGGCAGGTCAACAACCACTCAGCCTGTGTTTTGTTGACGTTAGGATGTTGACAACCCCAGGTTCCTTATACAGTTATTGCTGAAATAAAGTTAGCTGGTGTATGAGGAACTTATCACAGCGGTTGTGACACAGTCTGATATATGTGGACTATTAACCCTGACATTGGGTCAGTCACATGAAAGTAACAGTGTTTTGTTCTGCCCAGTGCAAGACCTATGCGTGTGTGCTGGAAAGTCACCTGATGGGGCTCACGATCGACTTCAGCATGGGCTTCATCTGCTTTGACGCTGCGACCAAGGTACTGTGCGTGGTCAGCTCGAGGGTGCGCGGCCCGGGTCCTAATCAAGGACGACTGGAATTGCTTCCAGCTCCTGTCAGCACTCTGACTGGTTATCAGGTGTTGGATTTAAGGTCCTCGTTTTTATTAATAGGAGATAAATTATGCCTTAATATGTTTATAGAAAAACAAGAGATAGAATTTTGATAAAACAAATGTGTTGCTAGAAAACGTTGTAACTATAAAAGTGTATATATATGTACGATCTAGACATATATGTCTATATATTATATGTATATATATTCTCTCTTACTAAAAGTATGGCCTCATAATGAAGGGAAATTTTCTTCTCTCAAAACAACTTTTTAAAAGTGTTCCTTTATTATTTTTCTGTGTCAACATCTCCAATATCAAAATGAGGAAACGTATTTTTTAGTTGTGTAGGTAATATGTTAGAATTACAGGATGGGGGAATTTCAGGGCTTGGAGGCCCCAAGCCAGGGAGGGTCACCGTGTGAACACTTGACTGTACTGTCTGATTGGGCACCTTAATCTTCATAATCCATTCACGTCTTTAAGTGGACGTTAATTTTTACAGTGTTTCAAGGTAAAATTTGAAAGGAAATTAATATGGCGTATATTCACACTTTTCGTTTTTGAGAGTCTCTTCTGTGGCTTGGATAAGTTGAAGGACACTAATTTTGAGGGTCTTCGATCTACTGTTTTTGCCAAGGACATATGACCTTCATGTACACACACAGTTCACAATATGTTTAATTTGACTTTTTCTAAAATGCATTTATATAGTTACAACATAATCATAACATAAATTCCATGGGTTAAACTTCTAAAAATAGAATTAGACCTTCCTTTTTGATTTATGTTTTTTATTCAATAATATTTCAACTCTTTCTTATCAAAGGTAGTTGTTAAAAATCCAGAAGGAAAATTCGAGAATTTAAGCATGAACATTTTCTTAGTGCATCTCCTACAAGAGTAGCACTCAGCACACGTGGCTTTCCCTCCAGTCCTCCTGGGTCTCTGCTTCGTAGAGGTCCCTGTTCTCACGGCGCCTGGTGGAGGGGATGGACACAAAAGGGCTCATCTGAGGTTTGCTGGTTCTTAGCAAAGGGAGTTGTTCGGGGTGGAAGCGTGTAACAAGGGGAAGAGCGCCGGGCGGTACTCAGAGGAAGCTGCCTTCTCCTCAGAATCCGCAATCACGGTCCGCTGACCAGGCAGGGGGTGACAGCGCTGGCAGGACCCGCGGGGCCACGTTCAGAGTGAAGCAGGCAGCACCGGATAGCAGGGGCCTTGGCCTTCGTGGCCGATGCGGCCCCCGCGCTGCTGGGTGGCACCGTGACAGCGCCTCCCTGCCTTAGAGCAGTAAGTGCTTCCTCCTCCCATGGCTGGTTCCCTCAACCATCCCCCACCTGGCTCTGCTCCCCTTACCCCTGATTCCTGTGGAGCCAGGAGGTCAGCCCAGAACGTCCTTTTCTTGCCGGTGACACAGGCAGGACAGAGCAAGCCTTACTGCAGTCCTTCTTCATGTGCCCCTGCTGCTAGGACACCTACAGGCTCCCACTGGTCACAGCAGGTCACATGGCTGAGGCCACACCAAGTCAGAGGGCACAGCGCCCGGCCCACGGTGGCAGAGCACAGATCTGGGGTGATGAACCCAGGGCTGACACGCCACAGTGCCGAGGGCCACCAAAGCCGCCAGGACCTGATGGCAGAAGCATGATGCCGTCTGTGATGGCCTTGGCGCCTTGGGGAGGATGCTTCGGAGGGGAGAAGAGTGGAGGGGGGGCGGGGAGGTTATTGGGCGTGTGGCTTAGACCTGGGAGCTTGCAGAGCTGTAGGGACCTGAGTAACAAGGAGGACGAGGTGCCCTTAGCAGGGCTTGGAGAGAAGGGCGGAGCCTCTGACCCGGGCAGCTCTGGGGAATTATTCTCCTGAAAGTAGCCACAGAGGCGTCATCGGGTAGTTACTCTGTTTAAGGACCGGGCTCACTTTTCTAATACTGTGTGTCTCACAGTAGTTCAGTGACTTTTCTAAGTTTCTTGGAAAACCCATTCCAGTGGCGTGTGCTCTAGCGCAGGACCCAGATATTATAAACAGACAACGTATGTCGTGACCTTCAATGCCCGGGTGCATTTCTGGCAGCTGGTCTCCGCACCGTGCAGCCTCAGGACGGCCACTCCCCCGGGACACTTCTTGGTCTGGAACACAAACAAATTTCTGGCAGGCAGGTGTCAGCAGGTAACCGAGATAGAAAATTATTCCACGTTCACTGGGTGAACAGAATTTAGGCTCCACTGGGACCCCCGACATGGGACCCGTCCTCTGCAGACCACTCAGGCCTTGGACACACAGGGGCCCTCACCCACCTTGAGTGACTCAGACTCTCCTCTTCAACCGCTTTTTAACCAAATCAGGATGATTTGACACAGAAAGACCATGCATCCCAAGGTAATTTGTTATATGTTGCTAATTTAATGAACATAATAGTTTTCAAGTGATGCCTTTTACATGTGAGTCAATTTCTAGAAAATAGATTTCTTTGAATTGGGGAGTTTTTTCTTATACTTAGGGGGAAAAGGAAGATGATTGACTCACAGTAATAAAGTTCATAATTAAATGTTAGAAATCGAATAGTCAAAGTGAAGCATTGGCACTGCCTCAAAAATAAAATGTGCGGGAACGTATGTGTTAATTTAGCAGTTATTTCATAAACTGCTTCATCTCTGTAGTGGAGCAGCCTTCAGACAACCTGGAGGAGAATAGAGCAGTGCTGGCTTATTATGCTGTACAGGTATATTGACTCAGATGTAGCTATCCCAGTAAACTCATTTCCTTTTCTCTCTAGAGCTGTGACTCTCCACTGAGCTGGCAAAGATGTGTCCCTATGTTAAAAAGAAATCGCTAGAAAAGAGCTGATTTCTATAGAGAATCGATAATATGAGTTATCAGTGTGGCTGAATTTTATCACGTTGCCAGAAAGAAGCAACAACAATAAACAAAACAGAAACAAAACCCTAAGGATCCCAGAAATTTATACGAGAAAAACCCAATTTTCTGCCCGTCTTTACTACACAGACAGCGTGTAAAGTTTCTCAAAATGAAATTAGTATGTTACGAATAACAAAGAGCACACCACATCCAGCAGCGTGTGGAAACATGTTGGTACCTCTTTTTCCACATGTATTTCGCTTATTCTATATCTTTACATAGATATGATTACGAGAAGTACTCTGTACAATCAACCCACCAGGTTGATGGGTTTAAGCTATTACAAAATAACACACAAGGTCTGCATTTTAGAAACACCTTTCTTCTGTTTTCTTTTTCCTTCCTGTTTGAGAGATTCCAAATAAATTGTCAAAGTGAACATCTGTATACCCCTCTGTGAATGTTCCATATATTTGATGAAAACATTTATACATATAGACATATCATATAGGGATAGTGTAGAGTCCATTTGGGGGGAATAAATTTAAATGAAATACGTTTGATCAGGATGAAATATGTTTGATCAGGAAGTTTCATCCAGTCTTTAGGCCCCTGGCCTGAGGATGGTAGTTTTGGTTCTGTTAACTGGAGCTCAGACGCACGCCTGGATCCCTCAGGCTGCGTCCTGAACACGTCTCAGCACAGGGTCCGCCCCGGAGCTGGTCGTCTTCCTGATTCTGACTTCTCTGCGTTCCTCTCTCCGTTATCAGAAGGAATCTGAATTGTGTTCTATACCCGGGCCTCTTCCTCAACAGCTGCCCTTGAGTAAATCTGGAAGGTTCACTCTAACCGAAGTAGGGCAACCCCTTCTCATCTGGTTACGGCAGCATCGGCCAAACCTGCTTCTCGATGTAAATATTTATTGCACACACTCCTACGTATCGTCTATGTGCAGACACGAGGAACACAAAAAAGGGTACACTCCCTTCTCTCAAGATGTCCACAGTCTAGTGAAAGAGACACATCTGGAACTGGGGGCTTTCAGGAAGTCTGGGAGAAGCCAAAGCATTACAAAGACATAGATACCTGCCCTTCTGTGCCTGTTCCCAGCCACTGCCCGATTAATGATGCTTCTAAAATGTAAATTCGGCCATGTCATCAGTCTCCCTTGTTACATTACTTTAGTGGCTTCCTACTGCCTTTGTGACATCTGTCAACACAGGATAGAAGCCCCTCAGGGTTCTGGTCTCTGTCCGGATTTGGCATCATCTCCTGTGTCTCCCAGCTTTTGAGGATCCAGCCGTACCCCATGCTTTACCACATGACACTTCCACAGCTTGCATTCACCTTGAGAGCAGATCTGCCTCCAGAAAGCCTTCCCTCGCAGACTCAGGGGAGGCCTAGACACCCCCTGGCGCAGCACTGATCATCACGCGTCACAGCTGAGATTGCTGGAGACGTTGCCCTAATGCAGACTCAAGCACCGTCAAGGACGCAGAATCAGTTTAAGGACTAGTGAGGCATGTGCTGACGAATATGATGTTGCCAAGGAAACACGTGAGAGCCGCGAGCTTTCATCTAATTCTGTTTTCTTTTCATATTGCTATTTTTCTCCCTTTATTCATCATTTCCATTCACATTTATACGATTTACAAAATTACTGTACAGTTGAGGTACTAGTTTTAGTAAAAATGTAATTTATAAAGTTCAAAAACATAATCAATTAGGATACATTTGACATGAATGAAGAACAAATGAGAAGGATAAAGATGTGTAAAGAAAAATATTCTTAAAGAAAAGGTTTGTCATGGTTTTCTACTAAATATGACTCCTAACCCACCCACAGAAAAAAAGGAAGGAAGAGGACGCGCTTACGGGACACTGGCATTCTAACGTGTTGTTAATTCATTTCAGTGGGGAGGGGAGGGTGGAAGGCAGCAGAGGGAGTGTGTACCTGGGCTGCTTGCAAAGTCGAAGCGGGAGGCAAAGCAGAAAGAGGGCTTTGAGGGAAGATTTGATTTTCTGGTTAACCAAGAGACCCATCAAGACACTCTGCAGCAGAAAAAGAAAGA